CAGTGGCGGCGGAGGGGAAGGGCTAGCGAGGAGAGCGTCTGCAGCGGGTAGGTGTCTGGCGGGGACGTGCGAGGAGTGCGGCAAGGGGAAGGGCGAGAAGAGAGGGGACGAGGGAGGAAGGCCTTTGTGCGAGGACTGCGCCGCCGACTCCGCCGAGCATGAGGCGGAGAGACAGAGGGCGGTGTCAAGGAAGCCTGCGGGGAGGAGAAGTGGTGTTGCTGCGGTGAGTATATGATGCGCTGCGTGTTTTGTTTTTGCTGTACTTGGGGGGGGGGTTCTGGCAGTTCCGCGGGGTCTGCATTCTTGATTCCCCGCACCCGTTGGCCCTGCTGCGACTAAACTAGACGGCGGTGAGATCAGGATGGTTTCAGTTGGTTCAAGACCAGTCGTTTGATAACGGCTATTCTTTTTTTTGTTGATACTCGTAGCAAGAGGGAGGATTGCTTCTGCTGCCGATGTCTGCGTGGAAGCTCAACGACAACAACAGCAGTTGACCATGCGCTCTCGGCGTTGCAATGTCTCTTGGCTCGTGGAAGAATACGCGAAATCTGCTGCTGTGGAGGTAAAACGCGGTGGAACGTACATAACGAGATGGTGCTAATAGTAGCCTTTTCGAGAGGTCATGTCGAAGCAGGGATTGGCCTGTAGTTGTATTTAGACACCGGGAGCGGAATCCCGCCATAAAAGAGCCATCGGTACGATGAAACGGAGATAACACAGCAGCATCTAAGACTTCGCAAATGATTTTGCAAACTTTCCTATTTAGAATAGAATATTCTCGACTTTGGATTCTGGATCCCCCGTCGTTGATACGGCCGTGCAGTTGGGCGATCGGCGGGGGGAAGGAGTCGTGTCGAGCGCACAGCCCCACCATATATTTTTCTTCATGTTTATGTTAAATGTTACGTGTGGGTTGACCGTCTATTGGAACACGGGAGGCGTCCGTGCGCATCAGTTGGACCGGTACGGGTGTCGGAAGGTACCGAGAAGAACAGAGAGCACGCGGTTTATATTGCCAAGACAACAACAACAGCAACAATCGTTTCGAATTCTCGATCGGCTTTCTAGAAATGCAGTGGCGGATTCGATGGCAAAGAGGTTGCCAGCGATAGCAGAAACATTGGACCAGCTATAGTTCCACCGCAGCGTCCCGGTTTTTTTTCCTTCTATTCTGAGTGCCCAGGCTACTCCTTGCAGTATATGGTTGACGCACCAAGCGGGAAGGGTAATGCAGGAGAACTCATCCACTTTTCCTCCTGGGGTGCTTGCTTTCCTGCAATTTTTATCGCGAAAAGGGTTCTCAGTAGTCACTCCCTTCGTTTGTTGTGTGATGGCGTGATGACCGTATGCGCATGGGAAGTTCCAAAAGCGTTTTTGTACAACCTCCCACCCCAGACTTGTTGATTTCACTGGAACCGTTTCAGGACTCCCACGTTGGCTCCGTTCGTTCCCTAGCTGTGCGTGCACTTGTCTCCCGTACTTGTTTTGTTGCATGGCAAGCGACCTACCGCCGTGCCCCCGCCTGTTCGTTGAACGGTGCTGTTCTGATTGTACCATCTGCAGCCCCCCGTACGGAGGAGATCGGTGGTGCCGCCAGCGGCCACAGAGGCAGCAGGCGGGGGTAGAGGCGGAAGCGGGGGCGCGGTGGAAGATCGGGACCTGGGGCGTCGAATGTGCATCCAGGATTTTCAGGTAGGCGATGACGACGACGGCGGTACTATTGTAACGTTCCCGGCTGTCGGCCCCCCATCACAGACTAAGACAAACGTTGACTATTGCACAGACTACGACAAACGTTGGCCTGATCACAGACTAAGACAGACGTTGGCCTGTAGCAAAAAAGGTAGAAGTATGGTTAATGGTGGATGGGACAATGAGATGGGAAGGAGACATTGATGACGGCAACTTGCAATGTTTTTGAGTTTTTCGTTTTTCGGGGGCCTTGTTGCGGACTCGACCGGAACAGCTGTAGTAGTATCGGAGGAGGAGGAAGAGGAGGCCCAAACAATTTTCGGTTCTGATGCCATTAAGAACAGCAGCAACGCCTCCGTTTGTTCTCCAGTAAGCGCTGTCAGCTAATAAGCTTATATTCTGGTCCTTTGGCTGCTGTGTTTCGCACGAATCGCGATCATGGTAGGCGTGGATTTCTTAGTTTTCGGCAGGGACCGGATTTCACTCATTGGCGCCATGTTTCCTCTGGTTTTGTGCTTTTCCTGAACGTTTGTGCTATGAACGATTCTATGATACTCTTTTTTAGTTTTCATCTGTTATTGGTATGTGATTTGCCCTTATTTTGTTTGTGTCCCTATACCTGCTGTTTGGGCTGCTGCTACAGTAATAAACTGAATTGGTCGATTGTTGGCCGCGCAAACAAACGGGGCGGCTGCGCTGTCGCTTGTGGTTGCTTAGGTAACATCAAAGCTCGGCATGGGCAAGTTCGGCATCGTCTACAAGGCCAAGAGCAAGCAGTCGCACAAGACTGTCGCGATCAAGGTGATTTACAAGGTGAGCTGCTGCAAATCACGATTTTTATGGTTGGAGATTTTGGTTTGAATGGGGTTGACATAAATGCCTGCTGTACCCGAACAGCATAATGCTGGCAATATCTCAGAAGGTAGTCGATGTGTGACCCCCCCGTTCAACGTACATATCCCCTCGTAGTTTCCCACGCCAAGCGCGTCCATACCACGGTGTAATTTTCTGCCTTATTACTGGAATGGAAACGTAGTTTGATAGGTAAAGATCTCCGGCTGTGTCGACTGCGTGTCGTTTAATCCTTCTGTCCTTTTTTTCTTCTCATGTTGTCTCTCGCTTTCACTCCAGCTGTCGATTTTTTTATCCCGTCTTGCCTCTCTTCGCTTTTCGTTGATTTTTATTTTTTATTTTTTTTACTTTATCGCTTCGTTTCCCTCGTTGTCTCTCGTCGCTCCTCCCAGAGCTCTCTACGGGACGGCAACTACCAAGACGCGGTCAACCTAGATCGCGAAAGGCGCCTGCAGGCCAATCTGCGCCACCCCAACATCGTGGGGATACAGAACTCCTTCCAGGACCCCAAGTTCGTGTACCTGGTGCTCGACTTCGCCTCAGGGGGAGACGTGTACAAGGTACAAGTACAACGTGTGCAGAAAGAACGTCGTCAGTGGCCTTTAAGAGATACACTTGTCCCTCGGTGAAGGACACCCATGGTCCTTGGGATTGATTCTGTACCCCTTCTTTGTGTTGTACTCCATTCTGCGGGGGACCATGCCCGTGAATAAGAAGGTTGTTGGAGTGTCCTCTTAAAAACTACCATATGTCCTTCACCCGAGGCTTTAAAATGATGTCCTTTACCCGAGGGCCGACTGCAGATAGCTAATAATGCCTGCACTTTAAGAACCTACAGTTTCGGGCGAGGCTGGGGTTCTTACTTTCCTCGAGTGGGCTACAAATGACCGCTAGGTAAAATGCATACCGGTAGGTTGTTGTTTGGGGTGCTCGGTAGAGTACTGATGAACGGGACCTCAAGGGTTGGACCGCCTTCGCGAGACACATGAGTTTGCGAGGGAATAGAATAGGGAGGGGGGACGCAGACCCTATTCGTTACCCCTAACCCATACCCAACTTCCCCGATTGCATGCTTTATCCAGCATGTTTTCTTGAACGAAAACCCTTCGAAGGCTATTGCTGTCAGGGGTCGCTTGCCTCCCCCATGTCTGTCACTCGTTGATTGTACGAAGGTCTTGAGCCAACCTTCCTTCTCTTCCGGCCCCTGACGAAGCTGCGGCACACAAGCGCGACAACACGTGCATTAAATACGTCGTCGGTACATAAAAGAGATGCATTCGTGGTCCCTCGTTCAAGGACACGCATGGTTTTTCGTAAAAATATGTATCCTCAAGCCGGGGGAAGTGTCCTTACTTGATACCCCTCGAAATTTTGTACACTCTGCGGGGCACCTTGCCTGTGAAAAGAAAGGTGTTCTTAAGAAAGGAGTGTACTCTAGTGATGGTGTACTTTTCCCGAGGGCCGACTGTACGGATAGCGCCTGTACTTAAGAACCTCTATTTTAGTTTTCGCCGAGGTTGAGATTCTTAGTTCCCTCAACTGGGCCACAAATCGCCGCTATATAGGTTTCTTCCCCACCCGCTATGCGTCAACCGTACTGTATTCCACGTACCACCTCTTCGCATTTTTTTTTTAGCAGGTGCTCTCTCAAGAGCGGCATAAAACGGGTCTGCCCCACGAGGTCGCCGCGGCGTACCTGCACGATGCCGCTAGCGCGATCGCCTACCTCCACCGCATGCACGTCATACACCGGGACCTGAAGGTGCGTTTCTCGGAGAAGCCTTCTTTGGTTGTGATTCTTTTGTCTCTGCTGCTGCCGCTGGTTCTGTGGCCATTGCGGCTGCGGCTGCGGTTGCTTCTGTTGGGCGTTTCCGGGTGAATTCCATCTCGTGATTCGTGCTGTTGTCGGCGGCAGAGTACGTTGTTGTTGCTGCCGATATTGGTGGTGGTGCTAGACTATTGAACTCCTATATATGCTATGAGGACGACCGGTGCTGAGCGTCGATGACGCTGACCGGTCAGATGGTCGGTGCACGGATACGCACATCGCAACAATAATCACGGTTTGGTGTATAGGAGAAAATGACCAACCATTTGTATCTACGTACGTACATATCTCATTTTCCGCCCCTCTCGAAACGATCGTTGGTTTGTTGGTATTGCTGCTGATCATTCCGTCCTTATAACTGCCGATCGTCTTTCTCGCACCCGTTCACGGCGACAATCCTCCCTGAAGGCCGAAAACCTGCTGGTCGACTCAAAGGGGCGGCTTCAGCTCTCCGACTTCGGCTGGGCGGTGCACGCGAAGCCCCCCCACCAGCACATACGGCGGACAATGTGCGGGACCCCCGAGTACGCCCCCCCCGAAATCCTCGTTCGTCACCCGGAGTACACGAAGGCGGTCGACATCTGGAGCCTCGGGGTCCTCGCGTTTGAGCTGCTGACAGGTTTGTTGTTGTTGTTGGTGGTGGTGGTGGTGGTGGTGGTGGTGGTGGTGGTGGTGGTGATGTCGTTGTTGTTGTGATTGGTGTTGTTGTCGTCGCTACAGCAGTGTGGAGTTGGTGCTGCCGTTGATGGTGGCGGCGGTTCGTCGTTGTTGTACCATGACGTCACCTGTCGGCGTTATTTGTTGCTGCGTAGTGGCGGTGGTGCTCTATATTCCTATACAGTACTGCTGTACCCAGCACTTTGGGGTTATGGAAGACGCGGCCGTTCAGTTTTGTTTTTTGTTCCGTTACTATCGTTGCTTTCCCACTTGCCGCAGGGAAAACTCCGTTCTCCAGAGCGCATCCGGCGACGAGCCCCCAAACCGCCGCCGACTGCAACAACAACGACGGCAGCAGCACCCAGACATCCCTTAGCCCCAGTGCTGGATCGGGCCCCACCGCCGCCGGAATGCAAAGAGCTCCAGGTAGCGCAGAAGTGGCCGCTGCGTCAGAGGTCGAGGAAATCCACAAGGGTGACGACCACGCCAAGCTGTACGGACGCATTGCCGGCTGGGGGGGATCCCGTGACAGCCTTTTCGGGCGGGGTACCCGGGGGTCCGGTGCCCCCGAGCTGGCCCGGGACGTGGTGATGGCGATGCTTAGACCGGTGCCGGGGGACAGGCTAGAGGCCGGGGAGGTTCTGAAGCTGCCGTGGGTGGCGTTGCGAGGGAAGGGCACCGCTGCCTCAGCTACTACATAGAAGTGCTCTTGTCGTGTGTAGGCCTTGTTGGTGCGATGCTGCCGCAGAGCGGATTTTTTTGGCTGGTGCGATCTCGTCGCAGTCTGTGGTGGTGTAGTTGACGTACTGCTGTACTGGGTGGCGTACTGCCGCTGGCGTTGTTGTGCCTGTTGGGTGCACGGAGCGGGCCTTGTTTCGCCGCATGCGGTGCAAAATGACTCGGAGTAAGGGTAAGGTACGACTATTGTTTTTGGGCGTAAGAAGACGGGAGTGTTCTATTTCTGTAGGTGTGTCGCTTGCTTCAAGGGTATATATATGTTGTTGGTTGGCTGGTGGCACTAGGAAAAGAGTATTCTCCTGCTGCTGCTGCGCTATTTTCGTGGGCTGTGGTTGCGGCGCACACCGACAGCCGTTGGGCTGACCGATATATCACGGTGTCGTTTAGTGTGCTGCAGTTGTGTCAACCGAGATCCGAACACTATTGTACGATTTCATCTGACGAGGAAGCTGGACTGGGTGGGGGCAATGACTGCTGGCAACATACGTAGTAGCCGTTGGCAATCTGTACAGTTGCATGTCTACTGCTTTGTACATTTGTGTTGCGGACTTATGTACGCAAGTCTAGATTGCATATCTGCGTCCTGGAATTCTAACACGCCGATGCAAAAGCCCGAAAACCCTTACCCAATGCTGATTTCCTTGTCAATCGGAAATCGACGGTCCTCCGATCCTATCGCAGCAGCAGCTGAAATTTGCCGGTGGGGATGGAGAAACGCTGCGATCGCACCCAAACTATCCTACACGGCCCGGTTGGCATTGTTATAATATACCAAAGACTCCAAAGCAATACCTCCCTCACGATGGTGGGCGCCGCCCGACAGCATGGGAGCCTTGGCTCACCGGCGTGCGAATATTGGGGGTATTTTTGTGGTCGCGGGCTGCAATCGTTCGTTGGCGTCAGGGCAGGATGTTGTTCGTTGAGTGCTGCTCTTAGCACGGGGGCGGAGCGAGATCGGGTAGTCTAGAGCGAGCGGGGTCGGGGAGTGTAAAATATGTTGCTGCCCAGAAGAGGAAGTAGCGAGTTGGGCGCGCTTGCCGTTATATATATGTAGTGCTACAATGGTGATTAACTTTACACGAGTGAATATTCATTCGCCTCCTCATTGTATTTCGATGAAGAAAAATGCATGCGTGGGCATGCACAGTGATAGTTTTTTCGTGGAACATAATAAACCGTGCACCGTCGAAGAGAGTCCGACCCACACCAGTGATTGGTCCGGACAGTGCTTCCGCGTTGAGGTAGGTGTACACGGCCTCTTTGTTCCCGTGAATGCCTCTCTTGACAAGAAGAACGCCTGTCTTGACAAGAAGAGCGCCTCTCTTGACAAGAAGAACGCCTCTCTTGACAAGAAGAACGCCGAACCGATGTTGTAACGTCAAGCGTCAAGCGATCGTTTTTCGTCGAGACCCATGAGATGCACTTTTTCCAGTACAATTTCAGGACGGTCGAACAAGCTGCTGGATTGTTAGATGCGCGCTTCGGGGGTGGATCAATAAAAACATCTCCGTTCATGTACATCTATGTAGTCTACTCACGGGCACACCTGCATGCAATGCGTTGTTCATTTTCAACACGTCTGGACTATGTCGCCACGATTGCAGTCCATATTCATTCGTCTAAGGAAAGCACACACACAAGAGGGGAACACACGACAAATAACAAGCAATGTCTGCGACGCCAGACGACGAAACAAGCTTCCTCGCACAAACCACGATGCGAGCAACACTTATGCCAGCCTTGTTCTCGCCACCAAGAGCCGGGTGCGTTACCAACGAACACGACGTACACGTTCTACCGAAACAGCATAGACACATGTACATACCGCACTGAGAAAAACAATATCTCACGACTTGGGAACGGGCTATGCCAGCATGTACCTTTTACTACGAGGATCAGAGAGAGAGAGAGAGTTACTTTCTTGCTAATCCAACCACACTACTGTACATAACATTGCTTTCACTGCCGACTAACGCAAGGCGACAAACAGGCACGCGGCGTCAGTCACCACTTGAGAACGTTGAAGAACAAGGACCAGTCAGTCAATGATGCATGACTAAGGACCCCTACCTAGAAGCTGTGAAGATCTAGACTACTAACCAACTCTTCCGTCAATGGTTTCGTTTGTGTGGGTTGGCGGGCGGGAGGGGGGGGGGAGGGGGGGGCAAACGCGTCGCTACAAAAGTGAATATCTCCGCACCATTGTCGTTGCCCTTTTAGTTGAGAATGAATGGCATTCCAAGACATGCTCCAAAGTTTCACGAGAGAAACGTATTGTCCGGCTGCGGCAATACCTTCATTCACAACAACCACGACACACGCTGGCGGAGCGCGTGGTAGCGGCCATGCCCCCCACCCCCTTTGCTCAAGTGAGTGACAACCCTCGGAATCTTACGTGGAAACCTTGACTCTGTTCCACCTTGGGACAAAACTAAAGGTCGTCGTTGTTTCTAACGCGAGCTTGGCTCGGCGGCGGGCCTTAACCGGCAGACGTCATAGCCCTCGAGGCCCTCTCTCGAATCGCTCGCGCTCCAGTGTGCAGCGCTCCGGCCACCCACCCACTGGGAACATGACGTGGCCCTCCCTGGCTACAGACCTTCCCGATGCCATCGCAAACACCCCCAGCAATATTCTGCAGGAGCTTGTCGGTAGAATCCCTTGTACAACGATATCCTATCCATGCCGCTGCACATGTATCGGCGCCTCGTCATCAGGTGTACCGCCAGCTCGGCTTGG